TAGGGGCCTGGCTGAGTTCTCCCTCCTCCCTACCAGCTCAGCCGGTTCCCGTGAACAGACCCTGGTTGGGGTCTCTTAGCCTCCCATTTTTACAGGTGAAGCTGAGGCTCACACTGCTCGTGGATGGCTATTTGGGTCAGCGCTTCTTCTCTGTGACCAATATACCCAACAAGAATAGTTGAGTGGAGGAAAAGTTTATTTTGGCTCCCAGTGGGAGAGGTCCCGTCTGTGGTCGGCTGACTCCACAGCTCTGGACCCAAACTGAAGCAGAACATCATGGGGGGGGGGGCGTGGCCCAGGAGAGCAGCTCAGGCTGGCAACAAGGAAGCAGCCAGCTAGCCACTAGGACAAGACAGGATCCCCAAGACCACCACCAGGACCCGTTCCTCCAGCCACACCCTGGCCATCTACAGTCACCACCAGCCAGTTCCCATCAGTGCCTCAGTCCACTGATGAGGTCACGGCTCTCACGGTCTCATCACTTCCCCTGGGAACATGCCTGTGTTGTCTCCCACAGGAGCTTCTGGGGGCCACCCAGAACAACAGTGGCAGAGCCAGAATGTGAGGAACCTAGGACTAGTGACTCCTAGCTCTGTTCCTGACCGCTGGCTGTTGAGTTTACCTGCTGAGAATTCCCAGAAGCACCCAGTCACACAGCGGGGCTCAGACATCTGCTGGACAGGCGGGGCTATCTGGCTTCAGTCTCTGTTTTTCTCTAAACCTTGGGTGATTTCCATCTGTGACCTCTTTTCCCATCATCCCTTTACCTCGGGCTCTGCCTCAGCCCTTCCTTTCTACTTACACGGTCGTTGGCCACGACAGCCTCACGGGCTGCAAGTTGGGGCCGTGGGTGTGGCAGAATTACTAACATGCACCATTCCCTGCACAGCTTGCTGTGAAGAGCAGCAGGAAAATGTGGGTGAAAAGCACCTGGGAGCCCCTGCATGGCAAAACTGGGACTCCTGACTAGAGTCCTCTAGGGAAGGAGGACAGAGGCATAAGGAGAGAAGCAGGTTGAATCTGCAATGTTTATATTATGAACAAATTTCAAGAGAATTATGATGAGTGAGAAAAGTCAGTCCCAAAAGATTACTGAATTACAACACATGATAGAAATGGGGGCCAGGTTTGTGATTGCCAGGGGCCAGAGGTCACGGGCTTGGTGCTACAAAAGGGCAACTGAGGAATCCTGGCAGGGATGGAAATGTGTTCTGTTTTGACCAAATCAGTGTCTTCTTCCCAGTTACAACACTGAATTAGAGTTTTGCAAGATGTTGCCATGGGAAAACGGTACATAGGATCTCTGTCATTACACATGGATATCTTTTTTTTTTTTTTTTTTTTTTTTTTTTTTGGTACCAGAGATTGAACTCAAGGCCACTCAACCACTGAGCCACATCCCCAGCCCTATTTTGTGCTTTATTTAGAAACATGATCTGACTGAGTTGCTTAGCATCTCACTTTTGCTGAGGCTGGCTTTGAACTCAATCTTCAATCCTCCTGCCTCAGCCTCCCAAGCAGCTGGGATTACAGGTGCATGCTACCACACCCGGCACACAGGAGTCTTTAGTGATCTCAAAATACAAAATTTACTTTTAAAATAAAGTACCTAAAAGGAAATATGATAAAATATCAACATCTATTCTAGTTTTGGGGTAAATGACAATCTGTTGTATTTGCTATTTTCTTAATGTTTGAAATACTTAGTGTTTTTGTTTGGATATGAGGTGTCCTCCGCAAAAAACTCCTGAATGATTAGATTATGAGAGCCATAACCTAACCAGGGTGGTGATCCACTGGGGTTAGTGATCTGAAGGATTACCAGTTGGTAACTCTACGCAGGTAGGCTGCAGGAAGTGGGCCCCGGGGGTGTACGCTGGGGGTTATGTATTTTGTCCCTTGCTCCTCCCTCTCTCTGCTTCCTGGCTGTCAGGAGCTGACCAGCTTTCCCTGGCCATGATGTTCTGCCTCACCTGAAGCCCAGAGCAATGGGCTCGGCCAATTCTGGAACGAAACTCTGAAACTCTATGCCCCAAATAAAATTTTCCTCCTCTAAATTGTTCTTGTCAGGTATTTTGGTCACAGGGGTGAAAAGGTGACTAACACACCCAGTGTAAGCAAAGCCCTCTGGAGTTACCTACTCTGTTTTGTATGTATGCAGCTTTGTCCAAGGCCCATTCCTGGTCTCCTCAGGCTGGTGTGGTAAAAGCAGGAGCCCCAGGAATTTTGTAAGGGATGAAAGAGGTGCTGAGCAGAGGTGCTGAGCAGAGGTGCTGAGCACAGTTGAGAACTGTGCTTCTGACTTCTATCTTTATTCAACCTGTATTTTAAAAAATAGAGACATACATACCAGAATTTATTATATAGCAAAAAGTACAGGTTCACGATGCAATCAAAAGGGACTGAAAAGACATGTAGAATAGTTTAGATGTAAAAATAGAAAAGAATGTCCAAAGACCCAGTCAGATTGGAATATAATTTTAGGAATCACTAAAGAGTGAAGTGTTTCCAACTCAGTGTCGTGAGGATAGACTTGGTAGTGGAAGGTCTACTCGCATGGATTCTGAATGACAATCAGAAGATATTCCTTATCTATGGAGAGACATGGACAAAATTAATTCACCCTAAAATTATACTTCATCAACATTTCAGCTAGTCTGGGTTTTCTCTTCCATGTGTCGCGTGGACCTGTGTAGACCAATGGCTGCACATCAGAATCACCAGGATACTTTAAAAATACCCTTTTCCTCAGGCTGGCTCCAGAGATTTTGATTTAATTGATCTGGGGTGGTGTCCCAGCCATGGATACTTTTTTTAAAAAGCTCTGCAAGTGATATAAATGGGCAGCCAGAGAGCACAGCTGTAGAAAAAGCTTTATTTAGTTTATGGGCAATTCTGATTTGATCGAGGTACCATGCAGAAGTGTGTTCTAGACTCTGTGTAGGAGCCTGACTTCCAGCTATTTATTCACACTGTGGACTCAGTTCCTTCAAGGAAGGAAGGGTGCTGTGGCTGCTGTCTCCTGGTAGCCCAGGTAACAGTGCTTTACCCACAAAGAGGGTTCCGGCCCCATGGGACTTGGATCCACCCCCTACTCTGTCTCCAGGATGGAGGACTTTCTGCCACTCTCCAGAAAGTCTGAGTGCTAAGTTCACCAAAAAGGGGAATCACAGCTAAATTCTTTTGATTACTACTAATAAATCCAAGTGGGCAAAATTCAAATTGCTCAAAGGTCAAATAAATTGCTAATTTCATGTTTTTCAAGTTGAAACTTTAAGATGCAAACATCTCCATTTTGTAGTGAAAGAATATTATGTTTCATACTGTATGTTAAAACCTGTACTCCCCATTCTTTGAAACAAGGCTTTTAACCAGTCAAGAATAAATAATCTTTACATATGAAATGAAATGCCAAATTACCTGGAGCTACCATGATTTCATGTTTCTTTGATCTGATCCTGAGAAAAGTGAGGTCATTCTGAGGATCGATATCACGGACGGTGCTCTTGGCTTTCACCGTCAGCTGATGGAGAAGACCTGCATATTGAACTGTTGTCGAGTTGTCCAAGGTGGTTCGGATTGGAATGCCTATTATGAGATTTAATTTTGGGTTATTTTTTCTGATTATAATAGTAAAATGCACATTGGAAAAATATTGGGAAACGTTGATAATTGCAAGAAGAAAGAAAAAATGACGGCTGACATTGCTCACCGGTATCCATTTCAGTTTATTTCCTTTCAGCCTTTTTTTTTTGTTTCTGCAAAGATTTTTAAGCATAGTTAAGTCAAACCATATTTACAAACTAGACTTGCTTTTTTCTTCATTTAAGTTATAGCATACAAGCTGTCTTTGTTGACAACATCATCACTGTTATTTCAATCTCTGCATGCTTTACTATTTTATGCATATATCATAATATAAACAATCCCCTTTTGTTTGGTCACTTGGTATATTTTTTATAGCTAATGATGTGATGAATATTTTTTGTGTATGAATCATTTGGAAGCTGTTGATTATTTATTTCAGTGCTAAGTAAACATGTTTTAATATAAAAATGCATGCCCCCAAGCATCCCATCTACAGCAAGTCTGCCTTGAAAAACTTGGTCTGTGACATGGTGGTAGTCTTCTTCCCCGAAATCAGAAACGGAAAGGGATATCACTGTGTATGAGATCAAAAGGGATTCTCACAATTTCTTACTAATTCCTCACACAGTATTCTAACATAACACCTTACATTTTATGTTAGAAAAATATGGGGACAGAGATACTATACTTTTGTGGTATGCTCCCTGGTTTTGCACTTCTTCTTTATTTAAATACTACTAAATTTGTTTACTTGTTAGCTTTGTTGTTCTATTATGGTTTAAAACACAATCTGTTAATTTACCAAAGAATTCTAGCTAGAAAATATGTGCATATAATTCACTTCAGTGCATATCAATCTAGCTCAGTTGGGGCCACCCAGGGTTCAAGATCCATTATGCAACAATACTGCAATAGGTGTTTTACAAATATTTTATGTAATCAAAAGATAACCTTCAAAGTATTTTAAAACTGCCAGATAAACAGGAATTTCCAAGATTTGATTTGCAAGTGTGTCTTTATTTTAGAGAACACAGGAAAAGAATTTGGGATTGTGGTCAAATTCCTTAGGTAGCTGAATTAAGGCCAATAAACAAAAGAGTTGAACATGGCTCTTAGTTTTCCTTCAGAAAATGTAGCTCGAAACTACTAAACAAGATGAGCACTTTAAAGAGTGGAGGAATATTACAAACTTAGGATTTTATCAAGTTTTCATGAAACTGCTGGAAACCATCCACTTTGACTTTGAAACGTACCTACCTCTTTTAAAGATAATCACTATCTCCAGAAAAGATTGCACTAAACTTTATAAGGTCAGTATTTGCAGGGACTCCTATTCTCCTATTAGGTGTTACATAAAACTATTAATTTCTGAATTGTTATTTGTTGGCCACTCTTCCCCTGAAAGGTGGTTGGTGCTTGTCTTTTACACTTGAGGGAGGTCACAAAGCATGGATCTTTAACAAGCTGGAAACAGAACATAGCCAGCCCTCAACCTTTGAGAACTTTATGAAAATAGTTTTATTTTGCATCCTAAATACTGACTGCCTATGAAGTCTGCATTGCTCAGTGTCAAAACAAGAAATACAACCAGAATAAATTATTCAAAATGTAGATGACAAGATTATGAATCAAAATCTCAGGCCTATTTAGTTAGTCTGTTCATGCCCCAAGCCAGTAAATAAAATACCTAGCCTTTCTGAATAATAAGTGCCCATTATGGAAACACCTGGGAGTTTTTCATATACACTACAGACACTTGAAAACAATTGAGAAATATTTATTTGAGCTCCTGCTTGGTACCATGCAAGGTAATTAAAATAATTTAGTAAAAAGTAATTTTAGCACGTGATAAAATTCACCTACTTCCTCTCTGAGAAGTAACTGCTGTGTCCTGGGCATCTCTCTACAGGTGTTCTAGGCCAGCTCAAGAATGCATGTGTTTGTGTTCATGATCTGTATAAAAATGGTCTCATTGTTTGATTCAGCACAAGTAAAGCTAAGTGATCATATTAGTGACAGTCAGTTCAATGAATGTTCTCCAGTTCACTTAGACAACACACCCTCCTGACAGGCAGTAGGCTGCCTCAATCTTTGACTCTCAGAAAAAAACACTGCAATGTATGTCATCTCACAGTTATTTGTATGTGTAGGATAAATTCCTAAAATGGAGCTTCTAGAACAAAGAGCATGGACATTTTAAAATTTGATACTGCTGAATTTATGGAAGTACTTTGAAATATGACTCTATATGATCCCAGTAAGCTTGTACTCATTATTTATTAGTTTGTCATTTTCAACCATACATTTGTACTTTGGTTGATAGACTGTATTTCAAAATAAAAGGAATTGGCTGAGTGGCTGATAAAATCTAATGAAATTCAAATGATTCATTGTTAGAAATGTCAAGAATATTTAAAATTAAGAGCCCACAGCAATCATGTTTATATACATAAGAATGTATGATAGGTATGACTGCCTGGGAGATATTTATACTCACCACTATCTATTGCAATGATCAGGGTTTCCATATTATAAACAATGGATGCTTTTATAAATGGGAAACCATGCTAACAATTAGTCTAACCAAAACCTATACCATTCAGCATTAACAAACTGAGAAGTCTACTGTCATGAAGAGTCTATGTTTCAATAACAGTGAAACAAAGGACTAATATTTAGCAAGCTACATGATGAGAATGAAATGAATAGACATAGGACCTCTAACCACAAATGCAATCTGAAAATGTGTTCAAATGCTTTGTCTGTAATTAGTAGACCAAAACCACTAGTAGAGAACAAGACACAAACACCATCTTGGTTAAGTATTTTCAATATGAATTTCACATGATTTCTGAAAGCTGCAGATCTGCATTAGAATAGATGGCACTTTTATCTAAAATTGAATAGGCTATTGAAATTATTGAAATTCAGTATTTTATTACATTCTGGTCACACTACTTATACCGTATGCTATTAATAAATATCTTCACCATATACTGTGGTTACTAATGATCTGACCATAAAAATAAGCCCCTAGTTTATATTTTGGATAAAGGTTGATTTGACTCTCAGGTGAAAACTGAGTATCCAGCAATCTTGAAAAGTGCGCTGAACCCTTACGCATCCTAGTAGAGGTTAATTAAAAGTTAATGGCTATTTAAAATGTTATTTCACTGCCTTTTTATGAGAGGAGTTTTGATTGAGATACCTCAGAAAAATAAAGAGAAATTTGCTTTTTAAGTTCCACTACTCAGAGATGACCCCTATATATAACATATGCCTACCGTTTCTTCCTTATTGAAATGCATGTGTGCACTGGCTACATCAATGATTAGAAAGAGTTGGCCACTGCTTTGTTACCTGACTTTTTCATCTAATACTTTGAGTGGCTCCCCCAAATCCTCAAATATCCTTGAACATTTTTAATAGAATCATGTTCATTAAGCAGCTAATACATAGTTACTTAAAAATTAACCCTGATCTGAGACAGCTTTGTTTTCTTATTTGTCTGTTTGTGCGTGTTGCATATGATGCCTCAGTGAGGACCCTTATAGTAAACCTTTCTTCACCACTCCTTAGGGTATTTCCTAGGAGAGGGATTACAGATCCAGGGTGTGGATATCTGATGCATATCATCAGGATTATGTGCTTTAAGGTTAAGATCTGCCAACAAAGCGCAGATGAACTGGCCTCGGTGCCACAAAAGAATGCACTGGGTTCAAGTCCAACCTAAATTTCAGAAGAGGATCTTATTTAGAAATAGGGTCTTTGCAGATGTAATGAGTTAAAATGAAGCCACTTGGGATTTTGGTGGGCCCTAATTCAATATAATTGGGCTCCCTGAGTGTAAGCAGAGACAGAGGAGAAGGCCACGTGGCAGGGAGGCAGACTTGAGTCTGTGAGCCCTGGGAACACTGGGCATTGGCAAGAAAGGCTCCGCCTCTGGATTTTTCAAAGACAGCACAACCCCAGGATATTTTGGTTTCAACTTCTCACTTCCAGACTAAGAGATAATAAATTTCTATTGTTTGAAGCCATCGGTGTGTGATACAGCAGCACCTCTATGAAATCATGCAGATAGAACATTCAGGGGGTGTGACACAGCAGTTACAAATACTTGGAAATAAGCAGTTTAGCCAGGTCTAGGAAATAGGGCTGAACCACTTGCTAGAAATGTATAACAAACTTCTTGACTTCTCTGTAGAAATGATCCTAAATCCTCTCTCCCCTCTGGTTCTCAGGCTGAGTGAATTTATTGTAGTCATATTTATTACATGTATTTAGCACTGTGTAATTTTTTATTTTGTAAAACAATATTTTTGTAAAAATTAAATTCGCACACCCTTAGAATTACTTTATTACAATTTTATTAAGTATTGGCTATGGTTCTGGGGACTTGGCAATTATTATCTCATTTAATTGTCACAACCACCATGAAAGTAGGTTATTTTCCATTCTTAACGGTAAGGAGTTTAAGCAGACTTTCAGTTGGTGGTTGCACAATGAATATTTATTGATGGATTCTACCAGGCCCTGACCTGGTTATATGCCAATTGTATGGTTGCACCATGAATTATGTTAAGTAGCTACTCTTATTTCAACTCATGCTCTGGAATTTCTGGCACCTCTTCCCCTTACAAATGCCTGAATTAGCAATGAAACCATCAGGAGCCTGTAAGAGGTCGCCACCACAGCTGGGCATGGAGCAGCGTGGCAGGGGAAATGCTGTGCGGAGTCTTAATGAGGATTATGCAGTGAGAGCAAGTTCCTGTCCAGTCTCCAGATTTCCTAGTTGGAAATCACTGGCTCTTCTTATACCATATACACAAAGACTACTCGATAAATGATATTAAAATGAATTCTCAAAGTTTTTTTAACGAAATATGGTAAAGAAATAATTTCATTTAAAATAAAGACTGAAACTCTGAACTCTTCATAATGTTAAAACAAAAGCAACCTGCCGGTTGTGATATTCTCTCTGACCTGAACATGATAGGTTTACTGGCACTCAGAACTGATGAAAGAAAATTACTAAAGCTTTAAAAAGCAGACAACCTACAAAGTTTCTTAGGAATATATAGGTATTTTTAGATGTCGTGTTCATATTTATAGCCCTAGCTCTTAGCAGAGTGCTTGGCATCTAATATATACTATTAGATGCTTGGTAAGTAA